ATTGTTCGAACTCTCACCGAAAAAGCGCTAGTGTAGCAAGTGGATATGATATGAACTTAGCAGTTATAAGCAGAGTGAAGTGTGCTGGTTTGAAAAATGTAGTATTTCTCTTGACTTCTGTAGTTTTAATTTAATTTTTTGGTTTCTTTAATTTTATTCCATACTCATTTTTGTCTATATATTACAATAAAATTTTAAAAATTGCGCTGTAACAAAACGGAAATGTTTCTTTCCGTTTTTAATTTAGTATCCTACTCTAATAATTTGTAGCGCTCTATTTAAAATTCTTCCACTTGCTACTATAGCGCCACCTTAATTTGCTCCCTTTCAACGGACACTTTTTAATACACTGAGATGGTCCTCCTTACTTCTACCCTCCATAGTTCAGATGTATAATACATTGCACCCGAGCGAAGCCGGGGAGGGTCGCTAGTAATGTTATAAATATGAATCGAAGTTTGTTTGTTACGCTTTCACGCCAAAACTATCCAACAGTCGATATTAAGTCTGCCGCTTGATCAATTTAAACGTAAAATCAAAAGTCAACTTATGGTTAAAGCATATTACACTATTGCGGAATATCTCGACGACGCCAATGTGTGGAGTTAATACTGTTAATACTCACGTAGGGTAGAATAAGACTATTATACCGGTATTTTATATTGTAAACTGATATTTTTGAAAAAGAGCAACTGTTGAGTTTCTTGCCGGTCTCTTCTCAACAGAAACCGCTTTCCGAACCGGTGGTACCTTACGAACCTATACACATAATCTTTTATGTAAAATTTGACGATGCATAAGAGCGCGCAAGCGTCTATTTGAATAAAGATTTTTGATTGATTGATTGAAAACCATTATCATGAAATTTTGCATACATATTCTTAGAGGTATTAAAAAGGACATAGGATTCTTTTACAAGTATTTTATAATAGAAATAAATGTTAATTTGTTGTAAAAATATAAAATGTTTATTTTTTCCGACTATTTATCGTTAAATCGTAGCGATTTAAAAACACGTCACCTTAAATAAATTCGCAAGCCACGAAACCGGCACATTTCTCCAGCTTTCTAATTTTAAATATAACTGTCCTTTGAACGCTAAGGAGCTGCGAGTAATGCCGTCGGACATCTGCACATAATTATATGTCGAATAATTAACAACACTGAACTATTGAAAGAGTACTTCAGAAAAATTAAATTTCAAAAGTTTTCAACAATTAATTTTGTTACTGTAAACCCTTACGGAAGGTTACTGCATCTATAATAAAACCGGGGATTAAAATTCAGGGTAAAAAGTATCATAAAACTGAAGGGGAACTTTATTATCTCTGAGGAAATATTAGACAAAAAGTACTCCCATTTTCTTCTTGTCTCTGCGTGGTTGTTTGAATTGTACAAGACAAACTCTTGTGTCTCTATTGTGATTGAGATATACATATATACTTTGATGTGTATATATAATTTGATGGGGAATTATAATTTCCATTTCACTTATTTATCATTATCATATTTTAGTATTAATAAATTATATTTTATTCGTGATAATATCTCTGCTTTTCTATTATGTTTAGCCACTTTAGATTTTATCTTTGTAATATAAAGTTTTTACCTAGTATTTTATAATGATAATAATAATAATTTTTAGGGCGTATTTCAAAACAATGTTTTCTAGTGTCAGACTAAGCAACGCTTGTACTATTGGTACTAGATAACTGATAAACATACTTAAACATGCTTTAGTTGTGTAAATAAATACACATTATACATATATAATCACCTAGACGCTAGAAAAACACTATGTTAATCACACAATACTTTCCCAGTAGTGGGGATCGAACCCACACCCTCTGTAGTCGTATACCTTTTTAATGTAGTAAAAAAGTGCACATAAAAGTTTCGTCTAAGAAGCGTGAATTTTTCGCACTGACGTTTTCGTAGCTGAATACAATAATTACATATCCCATATCCCCCGGTGCTCATCAAGTTTAAGGCTGTCTGGACTTTGTCATTACATTGCCAGGGTCTCGAGTTCAAAACGCAACTCTCGTGGCCCAGCCTAACGTTGCAATCGAGACATAATGAGACATAAAGTATGACATCGAGCGACCTGGCGATCGTTTGCTATAACACGCCTGATTAAACTTCGTTACTCCCACTTCATTTAAAATAATTTCATCTGTATTTTTTTGTTTCGTTTTTCTTTTTGGTAAGCTAAGTTTATTTATTTTTTCTTTACACTGCTTCATACTTGTAGGTGTAATTTTTTATTAGTAGTTATTGTTTAATTGTCTTTGAATTAATGTACCCGCTTTGTGTTGATCTTAGTCTAGTTTGTTGTTTATAATTTAAAATTTTGGTATGTATGTACTGAAAATCGCTAAATCGATTCGATCGAACCTATTTGGTTCGGCACGAAACGAAAATATACAAGTTATATATTCTTTTCGTTGTTAACATAACTGTGTTTGTTGAAAGTAAATAAATATTCATTCATTCATCATAAAATTTCATAATTTTCGCACTACAACAATAGTTTTCATACGCAATATGAAATATATAATATTTAGTATTCGGAAGAAGGTACTTACTATAACGGATACAAAATTCAAACTTCTTTCTTTGTGTATTTAGGACATGGAATACGTGAAAGCAGTTCACTTTATGATATGGGGTAACTGCTGCCATTTCTCAGGAATTCGGAACAACAAAGTCGAGTTTTCATATAGCATATATGTATATTCATTTAGCTAAAATTATTTTTAAAATAGTTAAAGAGTCAAAATAGTTAAAACATCAAAATTCTTCAACATCACACCCCTATCATAATTTTCAACGCAATTATCCATATTCACGGGCGACAATTCCGGAACGGTCGTGTTATAGCGTCATCGGATGCTAATGACCTTGTCCTCTACGGGCGGGGGCGCGGCGCTGACGTCGGCCTACGTCGTGACTCGTGATTGAAATGATTCACCGAATGATTATAGTTATTTCGCCTCTCAACTCCACCGGCTTCATTTAATGTTGCTACCCCGGGAGGACGTGTAATTTGAAAACGATTCCCAACGCAGAAATGAAAGAAAAAACCGGCCAAGAAATTCAACTCATTATCCCATTGGCCGCACAGGTGAAGCGCGGATAACAGAACAGGTATTTATCTATAAAAACGGCCATTTTGTTATTCTCTTCTTTAGTATCTATTTACATAGAGGCAACAGAAATTCAATTATCTGTGAAAATTGGCACTCTCTAACTATCACGGTTCATGAGATACAGCCTGGTGACAGACAGACAGCAGAGTCTTAATAATAGGGTCCCGTTTTACCCTTTGGGTGAGGAACTCTAAAAATATCCATTTGCAATTTGTGCAGATACTCTTTTCCCCAGCTAAATAGGACGAAGCACAGACATTGCTAAGAATTAGATTTTTACTAGCATTTTTATCTGACTTTTATACTAAAGTTATATCCATTCGAAACTTTTATTTGTCAGTGTTCATGATGATGGTGATGAAACTTTTACAGGTCTCAAATATTTTTTTAGACACGCTCTTTATAATAATATATGCTTTATTAATATAATTGATTAATATACTTTATTAATATAATAAAATTTATGTTTGTAAAACGTCCTTACAACACAGGATAATGTTTTCCTAAAGTAAGGGCATTATTTAAAAAACAGAAAAAAAAAAACAAATATCGAGCGTTAACAATAGGTTATTGGCGCAAAGTTCTTTGCCGAACATCTGGTATTCCATTAACCCCTCCCCATTTCATCATCGAACAACTAGACGCCCCGCAGGGCTCGATCCATTTGTTGTTGACATTCCATGCTTTTGAACGAAGATGGTCGCTTCCTCTTTCTTACAACACAGGATCAGATCCCCCGTCCGATTTAATGTGTGTGTCTTCAAAGCAAGAGTGAATAGACCGTTGCTGAGCTAGTGCGTTCACCATCTAAGATTACTACTTACATATAAAAATACGTCCATATAAGTTCCATGGTCCTCTCATTACATTTTAGGCTCACGAGTAGACAACAACGTGTTATGTCGTATGTATGCATGGAAGTTAGCTCGAATTATATTAATTTTCCGTACAGGAAAACCATTACAAATTCAACGGACTAAGATTTGATACAATTGTGAAACTTTACACGGTCCCCTTGTGCTAGAAGAAATCTAAGAATGTCTCACGGCTGTTTACGAATGCGGTACACGCCTGCAGTGTCGTGACCGCGGTCGCGTAGTCGATTTAGATACAGATTATCGCCGCTAGATGGCGCAGATGATGGCTGAGTCTTCGGGAACATTCCCTCCACGGTATAGACTACAGTTATTATAATAACAATGATAGTAATTCTTTATTTCAGTCCTAACACTCATATACAGTTGGGCTATATCATATAGCTATATTTAAATAAAAATCGTAAAAAATAGTAATTGATGAATTAAAACAATGTAATGTAAATAATGAATTGATTATAAAACAAAGTTTCGTGAGGTTACTTGATTGCAAACTAGACGGTAACGAGAAAGTTAAGAAGAAATGATATGTCCATATGAATGTATCCATTACGTTATCCGTTTGGTATACTAAACAAACAAGTAACTTCTCCGTTAAGATGTTAAGATAAACTAAATCAAACAAGTATTCACATTATATTTTAAAGTGCTACGTCTAAAGTAAACTTTTCGTATTTTACAGTAAATGGATTCACTGCCAAAATATGAAAGATAACAAACATTTGAACAAATTATTGTTATTTATAAAAAACAATAATGATTATAGCTTTTTTTAAATCGAAACGATAAAGGTAATATCAACAAAGATCGTAGCATTTTTACTTTTTCACGCAAACGTCAAACTGATGTCTTGTCATAAATGTGGGTGTAAAAATTTGACACATCACAAATGTCGCTCTGAAGCTTGCGTTGCTAAGCGATTTTCCATCGCCTTTTCATAATACCGGAGACGCTTCTGACCATAAAAGTATTTATGGTCAGGAAGTATGGCAGTGACTCGCTGGGCCGTGGCGACATCGAGGCCGACGTCATAGTGCTGGGCTGCAGCCTGCCGGGTATTGTTACAGCGCACAAGCTGAAGAGGAAGTTCGGCGACACCATGGACATCGTGGTGATAGACCTGGGCGGTCCCGCCAGGGGCGTGTCCAAGTGCGACGTGGTGGCGTTCCTGGACGAAGACGATAGATCCGAGGGGAGCGACACAGACACGCAGCAGCCCGCCGAGCACTCATCCCGCCGCTACCTGCTGATGTACGCCAAGGAGTTCAATATAACCATACCGGACGCGATACTAACGCCCGCCGCTGCGCCTTCCCTCCACAAGCTGTTCGAATATAACAACGGCAGCGCGGTCCGGAGCGCGAACAACTTTCACGATTTCGACTATTTGTCCGCCCTAGAGCGGTTCGAGCTTGGCCAGTACCAGAGGCAGATCGACGAGAGCATGAGAGACTTGTTCCGCGTCTCCAAGTATCACTCACCGGCGGAGCAGAAGAAGCTTCTGTCCTACGACCAGACCACCATGGAGAGCCACATTCGCGGCGCCCTTCTCTTTCCCACTTCGCGCGAGATCATGAGGAACATGGTGAGGCTGGTGTGCGGCGTCGCGCCGGACGCGGTCTCCGTGCTGTTCTACCTGCACCAGTGCTACAGGAACCACAGCTGCAGGGAGTACCTGGACGGGAACAACACGCGGTTCCGGGAGAAGCTGCTCGGCTATTGCAGGAAACGGCTCGCGCATCAGCTGCAGCGCAGTGTCGCCGACATCACGCTGTCGGCCAAGTCGATTAAAGGGATCCGAACCCACTCGCGGGAGCAAGTGATCTTGGAGACCATGAAGGGCGAGAACAACTACGTGTGCAGGCTGCTAGCGATGGCGTTGAACCCGGACCAGCTGCGGAGAATCGAAATGGAGCCGTTGCTGTTGTCGGACAGCGAGTCGCGAATCGTGGAGTCGTTGACGCCGGGCCGCGTAAGGAAGTTCACCGTTCAGTACGAGACGGACTTCTGGCGTGTGCAGGGCTTCAGCGGCGAGATCCTCAGCGTGCGGGGGCCCATCGTGTGGGCGATGGAGCGGCCGGCGCTGTGCGCCACGGGCAGAGGCAAGCGCTACTCGTACCTCGTGGGGTACTTGAGGGCGGCGCGGGGCGACGGCGACAAGCGGGACTCGCGGCGGGAGGTCACCGAGCAGCTGGTGCGGCTGTTCGGGGAGCGCGCTGCGGACCAGCTGAGCTACAAGGAGAGCGAGATAGAAGATGTGTTCGTCCCGAAGTGCGGGCACTACGTGGCGCTCAGGCGGTGGTGCCGGCAGAACTCGGGCGGCGTTGAGTGGGCGCCGCTGGACGTGTACCAGGATGGCGACGTGGCGGCCGCGCTCGAAGCGGGCCACGCGGCGTACCTCAGGGTCGCGAGCGCGCTGCGGCCTCAAGCGCAGAGCTTCGAGGACGTGGCTGCGGCGGAGGACCGATCGGACATCAGCGGCAACTTGTTTAACCGGCTCCTGGCCAAGGTGAACATCGTGAGCGGCGCGTCACTGGTCGCGTACACGACGGCCGCGTATGTGTGCGTGAGACTGGTCAAATCGTACTTTGCACGGACTTGACTGTGTCACTGTTCATCTACGGGTAATGCGGAGCGACGTTTGGGTGTTTTTTTTTTAATAAAGCTCATTGAAAAATGAAAGAGACCTACAGATTTTATGTATACGTTTTTTTTTTTTTAATTTTATTTTTTTTATATACGTTTTTTTTAGTTTCTATTCCAAAGAAGCTGCTACAATACAGAAAAAATTATTTTGTATTAGTGTACATTTCAATCTTACTTTTACTTTCACTAACGGTCAAATATTATGAATAACTGTCTTTGTGTGTATGTATTTATGGTATACTACCGGACCGGGCAGAGGACGTCTGCCCGGTCCGGTACACACGATTTAAATCCGACAACAACTTATAAAAAATTAAAAAGAAATTGTAGTGAACCGAATTGTGAATCTAAACCATTCTCGAATCCACCTGAAGACAACCAAAAAAATTTCATTAAAATCGGTCCAGCCGTTTAGGAGTACACACAGAAGAATTATGTATATAAAAATATATTGATTTATACATTTTATATTTTTCTATTTTAGTGTTTTACATTAATTTTTATATAATATCTTATTTATAGCATTTATTATTTTTATATTATATACATACATATTGATGTCATTGACGTTAATCCAAATTATATTTTGATTTGTGGTATATGTTACCACGATTTCTTTTCACATTACAAAACCGCCTCGAGAAAGAGAATTACAAAACCGTTTGTAACCCTTTGTTAAGGTTTTCTAATCTATCCAATACCTTTAAAAGTGCAATTCTTGGCTCTGAATTTGAAATGATTGAAAATGATGAAATTTTGTATGTGCGTAGATTCGGGGGCGAAAAATCGATCTAGCTAGGTTTCATTTTGCAGAAAAAAAAATGTTATAATAGCTCGGTCGGTAATCGGGCGGCCCCGAAACAGAAGACCGCGGTACGTGTCACAATCATTTAAACACTTTTTTTTTTTACTTTTTTTTCTATACTATATACTATCATTGCTTTCTTTATTTTTTATTTTTTTTATTTCCAAAATACACGATTTACCAAAAAAAAAAACCTCCTCCAGGTACTAAATAAGAAATAAGATCAGTGAGTGACATACCGAACTTTTTATAATATTACTTATAACTTATAATACATATTTTCCTTTTAACGCCTTCTTAAACGAATTCAATAGAACGATTGCATCACTTAATCATCAGCGTACCTTCGATAATAATATGCATTCACTTAGTGTCTCGCTGCATAGTTACGTGTTACATTGAAGGGCTGATATATTCCAAGTGTATTTTCAAAGAGGCCTTCAGATGCTGTTTGGTCAGTGTAAGGTCGAGCGGCCGCCCAACAATTAGGTCAAGTTTGATGACTCCGTGGCGCAGTTGCCAAGGTACTGGCTTCGGCGTCGGGGGTCCTGGGTTCCGATTCTCACACGGGACAACTATTTGTGTGGCCCACAGATAGTTGTTTCGCGTCTGGGTGTTTGTCCACGTGAATTATATATTTGTAAAACTTCCTTACAACATAGGATAATGTTGATTTATAACATTGCCCTAAAGAAAAGGCATTGTTACAAAAAAGAAAAAGTTCGATCATTTCCAACTACAGTGTAGAGTAAACAAATGTGATTGATTTTCCGAATGATTCATAATATAACTAGGACTACGTAGAAACATTAATATTTTTTAAACAAAATCAAGTATTTAATAAAATACTTGAACAATTTAATAAAATACTTGATTTTGATTTGAAATGTTCATTAAACGTTTATAAATCTTATGTAACTATATACGTACGTATAATAGTAATACAAAGATAATTGAAATCTTTGCAAAAAAAATACATTAAAGAAATCTGAATATAACAAATATAATATAATAATACATTAATACGTTGGTATAAATATTAAAATATTCAATTTAATACGATTATCTCACCACACATCTCTTCTTTGATATTAAACACTTTTGATAGTCCTAATTATTTTTATTTAATTTTTACCATATTGTATTACGCTGTTAATATTTTTTTATAAATTTAAATACTTAGGATGTTCTAATTAAATTTAATTGTTAAAAAAAGATTTATTTACAAAACATTACCAATTAACATTCGACCGACCATTTCAACTATAAAAGTTATATTTAAATGTCTCAATTTGCCTTAAAAAAAAGAATATTTTATTTTTCCCTCGTTCTTAACTTCTTAAGGCAAAGTGCCTGTTAGAAACAAATAGCAAATAACCTGTTTTTAAAATGAAGTGATAGTAAATTCATAGGATTAGTATACCTCATATTTTTATATGTACGAGTTCCGAATAACATCAGACTTCTAAATAGAAGTACCTATTTTATGTAAAGGAATATTAAGTTTTCAGGACTCATAACATATTAAATAGTTTTATTAATATAATAAATAAGAAAATGACCCGCCAAATTAAGTTCATGATATTACTCATCAGCCTACAGCAAAAATTGTGATGATAATTTATGCTCTCCAGTTTCGATACGTGAAAATGTTTACATAAAAATCATTAACGAAAACAACTTTCTTGAAACTTTCTTGAAACGTCGGATATTGAACGAACTAACAGTGCTCGGTTTGAAATAATGTAATAACATGCTACTGAATTATTGGATAGATTTCAACAAAAAACCCATCTTTTATATTATACATTTTCAATTAAAAACCATTCTTTGTATCGCTCCTCTATTACATTATATCTCGATGTAGATTTATTATTGTCTAAACAGCATCGTTCAAAAATCCGTTCCATAATAAAGATCGTATCGACGGAAAGTCCTTCAAATGTAAGAATCATCTGCGCCAATGCACCCGGCCCATCGGAGTGTAGTAAATGGGAAACGATCTATTTCCGCTTCCTGGTCGCCGTCATTAGATAAATAAACGGTGAGCAGTGAGCTTTTTGCGCGGATGTGTTTCCGCTACGCGAAGGCTGCGGTTGTAGCTTTTTGTGCAATGAGAGACCTCAAAATGAACACAAATAACAAACACCAAAACATATGACCTAAGAACACATGATGACCCGAATGGCGTAGTGGGTAGTGTACCTGCCGCCTGCGCTAGAGGGTGTGGGTTCGATCCCGTGCGTGTGTGTTGTATATTTTTTTCTTTGTCTGGGTAGAAAGAGAAGTATGTTTAAGTATGTTTATCATTTATCTAGTACCCATAGTACGGTTCAGTTTGCTCAGTTTGGAACTAGACAACGTTGTGTAAAATATGTGTCCTAAAAACATTTATATTTATGCGGCACATTACCATGCGTTGAGTGATGCAAACGAGAGTGCAAACACGTGTGGTCTAATCGGAATTAAAAAAAAAGCATATAGAAACTTCTCTTTTGTCCGTCGATTCAATGATGTTTAATAATATAGATGACGCATGTCCATACTGCGCGGCGTTTAAAAATTGTTGCGCTGTACATTATCATTAAATATCCTCATTGAATGAGGGAGGTGATATAGAACGTATGACACGGAAAGAGATAGAAAAAACTAGGAAAATGGCACTATCCCGTACACACACAAAATTCATTCTAATTTATTTTACAGACTGAAGCTAATATTTTATCACTTTTTATTTACTTTGTAGTGGACACATAAAAACTTTGATTTTGATTATGTGCATATGGGTAGTCTGCCTGGGTGAGTTAAGTGGTAATCAGTTGACGACAGATGGATTGTATTTTTATTCTATTACAGGCAGGCAATTTTCCACCAAACAATTCAGTCTTGTGTTATTTTCTGACGTCATGAACACGTCACGGTTGCAATGTCGCCAGTGACGTAAGCGCGTTGGCAACCGGCTGAGTGGCAAGCGGCCATAATCGATGTGGTATATGGTCACGCAGGCGTGGTGTAACCACGTACGGGCTGCCCCGTTTGTGGGTCACCATCACGCGCTGGGCGCGCGACACCGACTAGGCATATTAATCGCTTGTTGCGTAAGCTAACTTTCCATTGGATACATAATTATGCTCCAATTTTCTATATTTCTTTTTTCTTTTATCAATGAAATAATAAAAGGCGCAATACTAACAATGTCATTTATTAGCATTGTATAAGAATAACAATATAAATCATAGTGATAAATAAATATATTCCAAAATTAACTAATTTTACTTACTGAGTACTTAATAATATTTAAAAGTAATATTAAGATTTGAGCATTAATTTAAATTACCCTGCGCGAGTAGAAATAAAATTAGTTAGGACTACATTCAAACTATTCTATAGGGAATTTTCAACTAGTATGTTTTAGAGAACATTCAAACTAGATTAAATCTTTAGGTAATACTAGCTGACTCGGCAAACGTTGTTTTGATATATAAATTATTTCTAGAGAATTTGTCAATCTGAAAGAGAATTATCGGAACGCATGCATAAAGCGTTTGACAGGTTACACAGACATAGTTGACAGGTTGACAGGTATAGTTTGCAAAGAGAATGTAATCAATACGTTTATGTGTATGGGAAAATCAAATTGTTGCTATTTCGATTTTCCATAATTTCTCATCGTTTAAACCTTACCTGGACTGCCACAGATATTTCAAAACCAAAATTAGCCAAATCGGTCCAGCCGTTCTCGAGTTTTAGCGAGACTAACGAACAGCAATCCATTTTTGGGAGCCGGCAGGAGGGAATAATTAAGATGCAGTACAAAGAACAAGCCGTGTTGAGAAAAACATCCTCTTTTATTGTCACTCGTTGCTATAGAAATTTGTCAATAATAGGGTAATGCTAGACCGATGAGAGTAAGGGTGTAAAAGATAAGAGCGGTGCTACACAGTAGCAAATGAGTCGCCACATCACCCCCCTACGGAGAAAAATAAGTATACATTGAAGGCAAAACAAGTATAAAATGTAACAATCAAATAATTATACACTGTTATTATAAAAGTACAAGCAACATTATTTAGGATAATTTTTAACTAATGGAATTTTAATTTATACAACGAAAAAATAAACATTGGAAACTTAAAATTGAAAAAAAC